AGACAGAAATATAACCATTTTTAGGTTTTCAATGTAAAAAATTTATTTTCTAATAAAAATGTTTGAAACCAGAGTATAAATAGTGTGTTGGTTGGCTTGATGACTAACTGAATTATCAATTGTCAATGCAATCATAGAAATGAGTTTGTTTCACATAATACTACACTCAAGTAGAACACATTTCGTAAAAACTGCTTATCCGAATTTTATAGTTTCACAGAAATTCAAGTGTATATTTCAATTTACATTTATATTTATGGTTTTTAATCACTAAGAAATAAAATTTTAAATATGTTACTTTGAAATCTTGTGCACGCTATAAGGGGTACAGAAAATACGAATGTAGGGTTAAATCACAGATTTCCTCATATAGGCATAAAAATAGAAACTTTTAAGTCAAGTCCTTATCGATTTGTCGGCAATGTTATGTCCGGCAAGATACAATAATATCATATTTTTAATTAGACTTATGGAGATTAGTGTTTTTTACGCATTCGAACTCATCAATCAATCAATGAGAGTACGACATTAACACCGTTGGTTGCCGGCCCAGTGGTCCAGGGGACCGCAGGTCCTCGGCTCGAATCCTGCAAGGTGTAGGAGTCGTGGATGCGCACTGCTGATGAGTCCCTATAGCAGGATGAAACGGACTTCCAGTGCTTCCAGGTTTCTAATGGTGGTCTAACAATGATTGATTGATGATTTCAAATGTGTAAAAAAATATCATCATAGACTGGGTACACGTAGGTTTCACTTGCCATCCAATTCTCTAATCATAGAGTCCGTGTAACATACTTATTATGTTTTCAAAAACGATAGGTTATGGTTGCAGTTAATAACGTCTATTGTAGAGACTGACAATAAGGCATCTCATGTCATTCATTACAGTATTTAAATGTTTTATATTTTTACAATCGTTTTAAAAATCAAAAAGGCATTCAGTATCAAGTTCTTTAAAATTGCAGAAAAAGGGATCCGTTAATTGCATAGTTCCTACCTGAAATAAATATAATTTTTGAATGGTACTACTTATGCTTGAGTATCAGTTTATGACTAACATTTTTGAATAGGAATATACTTAACAAAATTGACTGAATTTCTAACTGCATCGCGTTTTGTTTTATTTTTAAACGGTTCTATCTAGATTTAGACTTACAATATTTTTCCTCAAAGTGATTTTAATAAATTATTATAACTAAATTCACCCTCAACAGACGAGAGTAATTTTTCAATAGTTTTCAGGTAAAGCACACACTGACCACGTAGTCAACAGGACAACGTGTACAGTACAGCTCAATTCTGTGGCGCAACCACACTGGTTCACTTGATAGCCTGTTGGATCAGATTTTATTACATACATTGTACTAAAAATTTACATTGATCATTTGATATTAAAATATGTTATTTTATGACCAACTTCAAAATGATTCGCATCATTGTTTATTGCGCTTCAATGTTTATTCCTAACCTATTATTAATGAAACTCTTACAATAACCACTGTAACCATGTGAATGACCTTTGATTAGTTTGCCCTTAAATAGTTTTGATGTTTTATTATTTCAATTTGTTGATTGATAATTTCAGTTTGTAAATAATAATTAATAATGTTGTAACAAAGCTTCATCGGTTGAGAACACATAATCAAAAGATTTTGGGGTGATTATATTCGCTAGCATCAAATGAAAAATTGAAATATGTTAGCTTCCAACAAACTATTCTTTAGAAAATTTTAACCCAAAATTTATAAATTTGTGTACAGCTATAAAACGATCTACGTCAGTGGAGCTTTACTGATTAATTTCTAAAGTATATATGATCGTGATAAATAACTTGTGACTTGAATAATTAATTTTATTTGTAACAAAATAATTCAATGTTCACTAGTATTTTTAATTAGTTCATATTGTATTGTGGTAGATGTTCAATGATTCATGAAGATGGACAGTATAACCTGACAAAAATGAAAGATTGAAATAATGATCTTATTGTTCCTGTGATGCTTGGAATTATTTAGTGAAAAGTTTAAAGGGAATCTTGAAATTTGAAAGTTTCTCTTGCTACTACTTTTGGTTTCTTCATTATTGTACATTTCCATTTTGTGCTTCCGTTCATTTCGCCTCTAAATTAACTTATTTGCTACACACCTTCACATCAATGCATGATGTAGCGATATTTGTATATATATATATATATATATATATATATATATATATATATATATATATATATATATATATATATATATTATATATATATTATTACCCTTTTGTTTATATCCGGCAACGCCCATTTATAAGAAAAGAATAGGAATCTACTTCTGGAGACAAGATTATAACAAACAAAACTAACTTCATCTACATATAATGAACTAGTACAAAGCCAAGTTAGTTGAATAAAACATTTTCATGCAATAAAAAAATATATCTACATATTGTAAAATGCAAAACTAACCGGAAATTATTGAAATTAAATAGGCATTCTATGTTAGCACTAAGAATTGATTAAACTTTCTAATGATGAATTGAAAAAATAAGTTCAAATCTGAATGAAACTTTAAATTATAGTAAATATTATAGAATCAATGATTCTTTCAGGTTTACGATTACTTGTTTCCAAGTTATTTAAGAGAATCGTTGTCATAGTCGATGGCTATGAATGTAATTGTTTCATTTAGGTGTTGTTTACTTACTTGCTAACTTACTTACGCCTGTTACCCCCGGTGGAGCATAGGCCGCCGATCACTATTCTCCAACCTACTCTATCCTGGAACTTCTCTTTCTAGTTCTTTCCAGTTTTCGTCCATTTTTCTCATGTCTTTCTCTATTTCTTGACGTTATGTGTTCTTTGGTCTTCCTCTTTTCCTTTGACCTCGAGGGTTCCATGTGAAGGCTTGTCTTGTGACGCAGTTCGGTGCTTTTCGTAGTGTGTATCCTATCCACTTCCACCGCTTCTCACTGACTTCTACCTCCACTAGGATCTGGTTTGTTCTCTCCCAAAGTAAGTTGTTGCTTATCGTGTCTGGCCAACGGATCTGGAGTATTTTGCGTAGACAACTGTTTATGAATACGTCCCGCAAGGCATCTCCATCAAGAATGATTTGATTGGTGCATGTTTTGTTGCATCGGAGAATCCTACTTTTCCCTTTATGTATGTTGAGACCTACTGCTGCAGAGGCTGCTGCCACACTGGTTGTCTTCTCTTACATTTGTTGTTGCGTGTGAGATAGAAGAGCCAGGTTATCTGTGAAGTCCAGATCGTCCAGCTGCGTCCTAACTGCTTCCCTCCATATGTCGACGTCTTCATAATCCAGTCGATCACAAGAAGAAAGAGACAGGGTGAGAGTAAGCAACCTTGCCTGACACCGGTCTTCACTTCGAACGAGTTTGTCAGTTTACCTCCGTGCACGATTTTGCAGTTTAATTAATCATAAGAATTCCTTATGATATTAACTATCTTCTCAGGCACACTGTAGTATCTAAGAAGCCTGTAGAACCTTCGGGGCTACTGCCGGTTCCAAGCCTGGATAAAGGAGGAGGGTTGGGCATGCGGTTGGCGAGCCCATCCCACCAGAAAAAATTAACTTGCCAAAAAATAGCTAACCAGAAAAAAATAAATCAAACCATTTTCAATTAAGTGTAGGACGTAATTAACTAAAAGCTTACAGGGAAATCAATAGCGCCGACAAATGTCTTTAAAAATCCAATTTTCTAGCATGTTTTAATTTCCAATAAATTCACCTGCTACGGTTAACACGAACTATGGACTACAATTACAGATAAGTATGTATTACGATGTCGACATTTTTCATGAAAGTCATGCAAGTTACGAAATCAACCTTGATAATGGATTTCTACTTATTGCTGATATATTTTCTTTGCAAATAAAAATGATGGACCGTGTATAGAGTATGAAGTTTCTAATTTCGAAATTAAACATTATTGAAATGATATATATTTGCTGAGTACTTGGAGATCTTGCATAAATTAAATTATAATTAGATGCCGAAGCGACTTCGTCTAAGTGGATTCATCAATATTCAACGAAAAAGAAAATTCGTTTCACCTGAATAAAACCTTAATTTTGACATAAGCAACATGGCAAAGCCTGGACTATGATAAACATTTTAGAATAAATTTATTTTTTAGCATGAAATGTCGTGAAATGTGTCAAAAAAGTTTATGAAACATAAAGCCATCAGGTTCTGTTTCATTGATACATCTTCTTTGACTAATTCATAAACAAGTTCGATGTTTGCTTGATAATTATAATTCCACCCGGTCATTTTAATGAACATTGTTTATGACATTTCGCTGCAACAGTATATTTAGATAAATAAATTCACGTTGGTGTTCAGTTTAACATAATTAAACAACAATCACATGCTTGAAATTTGATAAATCGGAATGCACAACGTAATCGAACTTATTCTAATAAATTTAAGCAATCTGATATTCAATAAGCATAATTAAATTGAAAACTGTGAACACAGGAGGTTATCTATTAAAAGAAAGATTTAAAGCTTTTTTTTGATTATTTCATACCATTAACCTCATCGATAATAATAATAATAATAAATTTAATATATCATGAACTGAAGAGGAAACACTTAAACGATGAAACCTAAGGTAAACTCTATTGTACAGTCAAATAATTGAGTTCATCTGCGAAAATTACTGGTTATTGTGCTCACATTCAATAATTATTCGGTCACTGAAATGACCCTTTATCACAGAATTTGATGTATAGCATGGTAAACATTTTGTCATCCTAGACTAAATATTACTCAGTTGCTTATTGTTACACTTATATGTGACATTTCCATTAGTTGTTGCTCAAAATTCTTGTACATTTGATTGATTAGTGTAAATGTTAATTACAAAAGTTGTCCATTGAGCAGATAATTTTTTTTATCTGATTTATTTAGTTTCTAATAGAACTGCACTGAACAAGAATTTTGCTTACTTGAAAACTATTAAAACGTGAAATTAATAAAATCCTGATGAATAACTGTGAGATTCTTTCTAAACAAACGGTTACAGTTTTTATTTACTTACAAAGAGATAATTTTCTTCTCTACGGCTTTTTTTCTTTTTCAGTGAATTTCATTCTTCTCTTCTACAAATATCAATCAATTGAAACAAAATGTCAGTTTTCCGAAAATTCCATTCTGAAACCAAATCAACTATGGTGGACACATGATGGTCAACGTTTACCGCCTGTCTCTTTCAATCTGAATGATTACTTACGTAAATTTGTTATAAAACAAGGTTTTGATTTAACTGCTGCCTCTGAAGGATGGAATCAAATGCTTGTATCATCAAACACTGATTTATTATGGATACAACAATTGTGTTTACATGCATATGTGAAACATTTCAGTGAGAAACAAGATGCATTCAGATCATCATCGCCACCATTATCCATAGGAAGAAAGAGATTTATTCAATTGCCACCACTATTTAACGGTCTGATGGCATTCGACGAAAATGACTGGTGTAGTCGCAATACACTAGCATGGAATTCGGATGAAGAATTCAATCAGTCAAATGACACCTTTGTACATATTATACATTATAGTATTCAATGTGAAAAGATTATTTATCGTAAACATTATAAATTCATTGTACAGTTAGATATAACCAATTCAAGGTCAGTTTCAATATTCCTCTTGTTTTTGTCTTTCTCGTTAAAATATAATTGGTAAAAGACTGACATGACTTTCGTAGTTTTTAGTAGCTTGTTTTGAACCAGCCACTTTTTTTCATTACAAAGAAATTCGACCGGAAATAAATCATTTGAAGATGCGTTGAGAAATAATGAAGCTGTAAACTTGTTCAAAATGAAACATATGCCTTAAGTGCAATAATTCCTAAATGAAATATCATACTAAGCCATGGTTAAGTAATCATAATAACTGACAGTGTTATCCACTGCACACTATAAATTTCGTGACATGACCATTTTAAGTAATAATTTCTCATGTCAATTATAATCAAAGACAATCGAAAATAACACCATTTCAGGATTGCTGTAAAGCGCTGGATTTTTAATTAACCCAAAAGTAATGAACATCTTCTATTACTGTTCACAATCTGATGAGTTTTAACCTGCTTTTTTTGCACTTGGTTGAGTCTCATTACCTGGTTCAGATTTGCTGTGATAAAATAATCAAAAACTTTTCACTTTGCAACTGAAACTTGACACTGTCGAAAAAATTGATCCACAGGACCACCTGAAATATTTATTAGTATCACATTAGTGTGAATTAAAGATCAGACAGATAAATGAAGTATTGAAACAATCTATTTAGTTCAAAATTAGATGTCAAGTTTTTTAATCTCATATTTCATGCACTTCAAACACTTCAATCACATGTTAACACACATGTTCTAACCTTATGCTTATGTAGATTGTAAGTCCACTTGTAATGAGTATAAAGTTAGGGTGAATATTTTTGACTAGATCTATATTTCAACCATTTCCTTCTCATAAATGATCACAGTTTGACTGAATATAACAAGAATGAAATAACATTTATAAAATGACAATCCACTAGATAGTTGTCGACTACAATTTTTATATCTTTTCTTAATAGATAATAATACATTATTACTAAAATCATGAATTAGTCATTGTTAGACCACCATTAAAACCCTGAAAGCTCTAGAAGGCCGTTTCGTCCTATGTATGAGACTCATCAGCAGTGCTCATACATAAATCCCGGTACTCGCAGGATTTGAACACAAGACCTTCAGTCTTGCGAACGAACGCCTAACCTCTGGACCATTACTCTGAACGAAAAATCCAACAGTGTACTCACTAATGAGAAAACATGACCAATGGAGTTCAGACTCGTAGGGTGTAGTCGGTAAATATCAAAATATATAATTGAGATCGAGCGAAATCCCTAGATTAATCAGAATTAGTCATTAACATCGTTGAATGCCGGCCTAGTGATCCAGAGGTTAGGCATGCGCAAGATCGAAAGTCCTGGGTTTGAATCCGGCGAGTAGCAGGAGTCATTGGTGTGCACTGCTCATTAGCCCTATATCAGGACGAAACAACCGTCCAGTACTTTTAGGTTTCTAATAGTGGTCCGACAATGATTGATTAATGATTTCAGTAATAAACAATAATCTCTACAACTCCAATTGAAAAACCAAACATTAGCTTGATAGCTATTTACTAAAGTGTTTAAATTGTTTTCAACAATGATACGTACATCATTCAAGGAAATTATTTGTACTGAAGACACTTGTCTTGTTTTTGTCAAAATGTCAATCATGCACTGTTTTTTCCTACTCTATTAGTTTTCCACAAATACAAAAATTTGCATTTCAGACCAGTTTATCAATGTTTACAATTTAAACCGGTTAATAAAAATGATCCAACGAAAATCATCAATGTTCTACAAAGTAAGTGTTTCTTTTGAATCTACTTACCTAAATATGACAATATTACATAGTCATCGCGTATGATAGTGAAAATACTTTACGATTAATTGTTATTAGTGATTTTGTATACAAAAGATCACTTGTTGAGACAAAATTTATGTCGTAAGTTAAACGTTGGTAAAGCAGTTCGTAAGCAAATAATGTTGATAATGCCAACTAACTGATTGCACATTAAAAATGAATCAAGTTAGGCAATTTCAACTTTCTACTTGTCAGTAACACTCATGACCAGCATGAGCTTGAGTGATCTACATTTAATTCTTAGCCTGGTTTGTTAGCCCAATTAATTGTTTTCCGATTACAACTGACAACAAACTATATTGTCCACCAAAGTATTGACCAAAGTTTTGTTATCCTTGATTAAAGTCTTCGATAATCTTCGTTGAAGACTTCAAAAAATAAGAACTCATGACTCAGCCTGTGAATGAATCCAGGAACTTTAAGTTTTTTCGAGAAAGCATCTATTTCTTGAACGGATGAAATATGGTCCAAAGTCATGTATTTTCATCTACAACCAATCTACTCCAGCCTCCTTTCAACATCAATCAGTGATGCATATTAAATCCAGCATAACTTCTCAGACTATCTTACGAAATAGTCGGTTAACAAATATATCGTCATTTTAAGTTGAATAATTCCTGTAACATATAAAAAAAAAATACTATTCATTCAGTGGAGGACTGAAGGTTCTTGTGAGATGTTTACCTAAGAGAGAGAAAAAAAACATTTCATTGTCAACATGCTTCTTAAAATGTTTTTCGGTTTTTATCAAGCTAAAAATTGAACAATATTAGATAAAAAAAAATGCTAAAGTAATAAAATCATTTTTATGAAGCGGAGTTGTTTTTTCATCTTCCTGATTATAGTTGATTATTGATTATTGATTTTCTTCTGGCTTATTACATTCAAAAGATGATTTCGCTTCACGAAAGCCGCTTTTTATTATTGTATGAAATTTTTTTTTTAATGAATATTTTATCACTATTGTATAGAATAGCAATACAAATAAGTTTAATAATAGTTACAGAAACATAATAATATGTTATCTAAACTATAATCTATAAAACAACTGAGAACAATGACTAGAAGTTCTGAAGTTAATGCAGATGAATTATGAAAAATTTAACCATTGTTTCAATATAATTAGTTAGTTAGTTGAGTTTCGCTTATGGATTATGCAAACATTGCAGAAAGCTTGCAAATTCATCATCACTAGTTCATGGATGTCAAAAAAATTCAAAATATTCTTATAAAATATAAGTTATTCATTATAACATTTAAACAAGATTGAATGAAGTAGAAAGTTTCTGAAGAGACTTTTCTGACAAAACTAAATTCTATACTTTCGATGAATAATCTACTAGGACTTCATTTAGCCAACATCAGAGAAAATTTCAGTTCTAACATATGATAACCCCGCATTTCTTCCGTATATTGTGCACACTCTAGATATACAGAAAGAAAAAACAAGCACTTATTATACATGATTTTTGATCCGTTATCAGCGTTTATACAAGCTTAAACTAGTTGGAATAACTTTGTAATCTTTTGACTGAGAGAAAAGACGATAACAAGGAGTGAATGAGTATGATCAATTCAACTATAACTGCAACTAACTATCAAGTTGTTTGTTTCTTTAACTAGGTAAACATATCAGTCTATATCCCAATGAATCATTATGCGATGACAACGCTGAATTTGATTCTATCCTTTGGATGCGTAAGTAAATATTTTACACAACTAATACACCATTGTGTCGGTCATGTAAAAAACTACCTGTCATTTTTTTCTTATTTTATCCTTATGGGTTTATCATTAGAAATCGATAAAAGTCAAGAACCATCTATGTAGTTCGAATCCGCTATCACGTGAATCTCCTAATGTTATGCTCATCTCTAGGTATGCTTAAACTATTACGAGTTCACCGAAGTCGAATAAAGCAATGAATCAGCGTCCAGGTAGGCTACTGTGATTCCTAGACCCAATAGTACCAGCAAGAAGTCTTGATATAGTGTAGAAGCTCTATTCTACAAACTCCAAGCCAGCACACAATGAACCCAAGCACTCAAATTACGTTTATTTATTCTCCATAGAGACGTTCTTGGGAGAGTCACAAAAATAGCACACCAAAATGACACAGTAACCAATCACAGCCAACGATTTTCCTGGTGGGAAATGTGATCTCAAGATCAACCGAGCGGTCTGTGAAATAAATCCAAAATAAAGATAATTTTCAACCGAGTTCTGAGGATCTATATGTAAAAATCATCACCTTAGAGAATTGAGTAAATCTATTGTCTGAAGTCCACCATTACTTTGAAATAATAAAGTTCAACTCGAATTATCAGATTAATCGTTTCGTAAATATTTTTTTGTTGTTGATATAATAAGTACCTAATTCAATTTTAATCACTCAGTAACTTTGTTTTGCGTGTTTTTAAAATCATCCTAAAGTTCATTTTTTTTCAGAAAAATTTCAATTATTCAGAGTGTTTCTTTCGAAAAAAAAACAAAATTATAATTTCACATGCTCAATATTTTTTTAATGAAAATGGAAAAAATATTATTAGTCTCGGGAAAATTACTCATTTCGTAGATAATCATTAGTATTTTCGAATTAAAAACTAAAAATTATTTTTTTTATGATTCAATTTTCAACAATCACAATTTGTTTCAATGACTTCAATTTCGTTTTTTGTTGAACACACATAGTGATGTCTTTAAGATGTTTATTTTGATTAAGCAAAACTAATCAACTAGTGAATCGAAAAGATAATTTAGAGCCTAAAGTCTAGACAAGATATGTGTGAATGAAAAAAACAATGAAAATCTCATTAAAAAACAATTATTGATTTTTATTTTTTTACGAAAAACAAAAACTATTCAATGAGATTTCACAGTGTCTCTTCCATTATTAAAAATTTAATGAAATTCACATTTCATTACTTTTGTAGAGAAAAAAACTCAATTATTGTCTTGTAGTGATCTATGACTACTTTTGTTCGTAATATGATATGAAGATATGTGAGAATTCTGTACATGTTATTCTCATTCTATTAGACATCAATCTATGAACTATTTTGAATAATTCACAAAGAATTTACATTAGTTTTTTTCTTTAAGATGCCAGGACAGTTGAAAAATGTCTGACATGCAATCACATGTGTAAAATAATCCTTAATAAGCATTCAACTTCATGTTTTCAACTTCACTTATTTAGTAATGAAAATAATTTAAGAAAAGATAGAAAATCTTTATTGTTTGAAATGATGCAGATCCTGACAATTTTAACAAATGTAATTTATAGTTGACTTCATTTGTATAAAAAATTCATGAGTCGATTGCACAGGAATTAAATGTTGTCTACTGGAAAGTCCTTGAACTATTGACCTTTCTGCCGGGGACGTTAGATCCCCAGAACTCGGTTGATAAATGCTTTAATTCTTGATTTTATTCATTGGCTGATCAGTTAACCTTGAGATCATATTTTCCACCAGGAAAATCCTTGGCCGTGATTGGTAGATGTATTATTTCGGTGTGTTGTTTCTGTGACTCTCCCAACGACGTTTCTGTGATGTGTAAATGAACGCGATTTGTGTACTTGAGATCATTGTGTTTTCTGGGTGTTTGTAGAATACACTTTCTGCGCCATATTAAGAGTTTTTCTTTAGTTAGTTGGGCAACCGATCAGAGTAGCATACCGTATCACTGGGTCATTATCTCTTACTCGTTTATCGACTAAGGTGAACTCGTAATAGTTTCAAGCATATCGAGTGATGAGCCTAACATTTCCATGTTGAACGAACCGAAATCCCTAACTAAAAACCAGAAATCTATCGACTAATAAATCACAAAGTATAATTGTACTAAGCTCAAAATAAATAGGTGTCGACAGGTCTCTACTCACTAATTAATATAACTGATCAATAAAGTGTATATAACGCACCTTGTTTGCATTAATTGATATGACCTTTATTGTTTTTCAACGTTATATCTCTCTTTATCCATGTCCTGATACATCCACGTTGACTTTTGGTTATTGCATAATCAAACGTGTTAAGTTATTATGTGACTAAAATGTTCAAAATGTATTGATCTAATATATCACAGAATTCTGATAATCTTAGTTTCCTCAGTTCGTTTTATGGAACTTTGAAGTGTTGAACAGCTTTCATTATGGTCACTTCAAAAAATATTGTTAGAAATAAGCAGATATCTGCAGTTTAGTACATATCGGATGGTTTATTGAAAAACCTTGACAAGATTAATCAACCAATTAGAACAATACATATAAGTGAACGATATTGCTTTCGATTAGATCGTCATCAGGCTTTACTCCAAAATACATACATATTTATAAGTAAATGTTAAACCAATCAAGGCAATTAAGAGTCAGTAATCACAATGAAATGATAGTAGGAAGACAGGTGTACTGATAGTAGGTCAAACATGGATAAATAGAAGATCTAATCGGAAATAATATTGTTCGCTTATATGTGTTGTTCTAATTTTCACAATGGGAATCTTTAATATTATTTAATCAACAAATATATTGCGATTACGTTGCAAGAATTACGGCATCAACTACGATCATTTGTAAAGCATCTTTCTTTTCATTGGTGAAAATAGCTCCGATGTATCACTGTTTTAATAAATAAAAAATCATGCCAGTTAGTTATAATGACAGAGAATTTTGTTATGATTGTGATTGTCTGCTTAACAGATGAAAAGTTTAAGATTATTAACTGAAAAAAAAACACGTTGATTTTTAGATTTATCTTCTGTTATTATGTATTCTTAGATATAATAATTTACTCATTTCATACAGTCTAAAAATTTTATTAGGCTATAAATCGAAGAGAACATTTTCTATTGATTATGAAACGTTTCTGTTTAAGCAACAAAATGTGTAAACAAAGTCAGGAAGTGGATTGATTAAGTATTGAAATAATGATATATGG